CCTCGTGGTATACAGGGTACTTTTGTACGCATTCCAGATCGCTGGCTATGGCTGGGATCATCTGTCGTATCAAAGGGATAAGCTTGGTAAAAGACCACTGATCCTTGGCCGTTCCATCAGGGAAAAGCTTGGCAAGTTTCTCGATGGAGAAAGGATCGTAGCCATCATCCTCGCTGGCATTGTCAGGCATGGTTGTCCAAAAGGGTAGCAGGGGTCCGGCCCCAGACCCGTTGACAATGAATAAATTAGCCAAACAAAAATTGTAAATGAAGCAAAAAAAAAAACCTCAATAACCTAAACGATCTTTTAATTGTAGATAAAATATAAAGAAAAACTACTTAATTAGGATTAAGATTAATTAGGATCTACTTCACAACGGTCTTATTTGACATATTACTTAAGTAATTTGCCGAATAGCGATTTAGTCTGCGCTACAAACACCAAACTTAATCAGGTGACAGACAGAACATTCTGTGCAAAGTACGGTAATTCATTCACGCAGAGTTACAATGGAGGCTATAACACTGCAACAGACAGATCGTATTCAGCAGCTCGCAAACGCGAGCGCCAGCTTTTTTTTAACGCGCAATGGCGCTAACCGGCTCGGGCAGAGCAAGACGTTCAACGGAACCAGACTAAGAGAATTCTAAACAGGTAGACAGCAAGCACATCTCTAGGGAAGGCGCTAATCCTCTGCTTCGACTGATCTCCCTGTCTCGTTCCATTTGGCACGATTGGTGCTGCGGACATCACAGGCCTTTCAGTCCAAGCCGTTACTGAGTAGCCAGGGTGGTACTTATTGTGATCCTCCATCTCCCGTGCCCATCTCCTTGGTGGTATTGCTGCCTCAGCCAAACACTTCGCACACAGGCCTTGCCGGCCGTGCACTCGCAGCCTAAACTCAGAGTGGTCACCCATCTAAATCCAAACCGCGCTCGATGTAGACTATAACGGGTGTGCTACACAACGGGTGTACGAATATTATAGCTGCGCCATTTCTCATCTTTGGCTTGCCTGACGGCCGATCTCGCGGTGACGGATGTGGGTTTGAGATGGGAGAAAGTGACGGCGTCAACACAAGTCACCTTCCAAGCCAGGTACAAACCACGATTCCAGGAAAAAGTGGGGCATGGCATTGGCATGTCAGCCTGGGCGACTTTCAGACGTTAATGATGCCGGCTGGCACGCATGATCTACGAACGATGCCGTTCAAACCTTCGTGGGTGGTGTCTTCGGCGGAAAAACAGACCATAAGCCTTTGTGGTTTCCGAATTAATTTCAAATAACATGCCCAAATAATTTTTAAATTTGTAGATTAATTTTTTGCAGATCAATTTAATGTTGTAATTAGTCCTCAAATTTCGAAATTTGCGAACTGATGTTAGAAAAATTTGAAATTTTTCTATCTTATCTTGAATTCCAAAAATAATTTGCAAATTGTTATGGCGCAAGGCTGCTGATTTGAGGTGCAGAGTGACGCAGTCGCAGAACTGCAACCACAGAGCGGGTGTACAGGGAAGCAGCACACGGTAGTGGGCGTTACTGCTCGCGCACACAGCACCACTATAATAACGCACAGCGCGGCATGCTTTCGTCTGCACGGTTTAGCTCGCCATGCACAACTTCCGCGTTGAGATTCTGCAGATGTATTTTACAGATGTGATAGATTGAACTTTTGATTAACGAAGTTACCCTTGTTTTCCGCGTCTTTTGAAATAATTAAAGTAAACTAGTTAGTGAATGTCTTGTTTGATAAGATTATTAAATTGTGGGTCTTATGGCAGTTTTTATTAGTGCCAGTTGACCTTTATTATGTGCATTCCAACAAAAGCGTTCCTCGCTCGCTGAGCACTTTGACTGAGGAGTTCATGGCTCTCCGGGAATTTGAGGAGGCCATCTGGCCGCGACATCGCTCAGTTAGAGCCTGCTCCGCAGTGTTTCCTGATGAAGTACGGCAACATATATTCACTTCCATAAGAGCGCCATCTTCAAATCTGTCGGAGAACCCGCAGGAACCCGAAGTACTGCCGCGACCTGGCCGCCTGCTGTTCGGCACGACGGTAAGATTCCCGTGCCAAGTAGCACGTAAATGTTGACTTATATTCAAATATTTATTTACCGATAACGTGTGACGGGGTTAATGGTAATTTCCCGCATGAATAAGTACCGAAATGGAGAAAATGACCTTGCTTAACTTTGACCTGTGTCAAAGAAGGTTATTTCCTGGTCGTGCAGAGAAATCCCCGTTTGCGTTGCATTTCTATGTATGTCACCCTAGCCGGAAATGGGCTACCTGTTCCACGATGAATAATAATAATAATAATCAGAGAAACCGGTGGCCATTGGTCAGTTCCGTGTTCGCACAGAGACTCTCCCCTTTGCGTTGTACTTATTTCTAAGTACGGTGATACTGCCGTTTGCGGTAGTTTCAACTGTCAACGACGAGAAGAAATGACGATTAACAACATGGTTTCCTTTCCATAGCATTTAGTGACGCTGTCCACCATAGCAGGCTGAATCACTATATAATATTGGCGTAAGGCTTAACGAAATTCCCACTCTGTTGAGTTCGCCAGCCCGATCCATTGAAGCAAACTTCCATGTCTACGCATCATTCGATAGCCCTTACTGTGCATATTAGCCATCGCAAGTCAGTTTTTAAAAAAAAACAAATGTTTGAAAGAATACTTAAAGAATTCTAAACAGAATGTCAATTTGAAAAGTTGAGAATCCACCACTGCAAAATTGACCACCCCACCACAGTATCGGTAGCTAAAACGCGTTTTGGCCAGCTTTGCTGGGACTGGGAAAGTTATTGAATCATGACCACATTTTTCCGTAGTCTTGATTCTTGAATGGAATTATAAATTTTCTTCAACAAATGGCTTCCGAAAAAGCTAGATTTAGGCACGAAGACCTACCAAAGTCTGCGAGTATGGAAGAATAGAACTGCTCAAAACCGTTTCTCAAGGAGCCGTCGCTCGCAGTGGTTTGACCAGTTTAAAGGTACAACGTTTCGACGGGCGGTTGCCATTGGTAATGAAATGCCGTTAAAGGCCAAAAATTTGCCACGCCTTGCGACTCGCATGTTGCGAGCACAGTTAATTTGTTTTCTGTGGAAAATGATGTCCGAGAAAATTGGTATAACATGTTGTACGGACAGCAAGCTGGCAGCTGAATTTCCGAGCTTAGTTAATGTGCATTAACATGCAGATATTAAGTGTTGATGGTGCGGGATTTTCCGATTTTGCTCTCGGAACTGTTGATTTGTCTTATGGTTAGAAATTGTTTGTTCAGCTTTTGTTTGTTTTGTTTAAGAAACATAAGAAACCTAACAGAAGCATATGAGTGATTGCTTAGTGGTCGTTAGGTGCGTCATCCAAGATGGAACGTTCCAGTGTTGAAAACGAGAGATTTTGCTTAACGTGGAATAATTTTCGTCAGTTTTTCACAGGAGGCCAAGCCACAGGCGACGCCGAGCTGCGGCGCGAGCAGAGCTCGCGGAGCAGCAAGCGAGCCAACTTGCTTTGCATTTCCGATTAAACGAGCGATGAAAGAAATACGTACTACAATATTTCAAATGGCTGTTTACGAATTTTTTGTAAAGTTATTGACCATTGGTTGCGTTGTGAATGCAAAGCAACCGAAAACCAATTGGAAATCGGAAATTTTTTTAATAATTTGATTGTCAAGCGGGAGTGTTTGATTCAATCAGTACTTATTAAAATTTTCTAGACTGCAACTGCAAGGCTGATGGTGCATTGAAGCTCGGAACAGCGCGGCTGAGAGCGCGAATCGCGATGGTAAAAATTTGGAGGTACAGTAGCATAGACTGTATTTAAATTTATGCTACTGTTCAGATTATTTTGCAACTGGGCAAACAATTTAACCTTTTGAATGATGGTTGCGTTAGTTATTTACTGTTATGGTGCGAAGGTTTCGTTGTGAAGAGCTAAGCCGAAAGCCGGCCCATTTCCGGGATGTCATGTCTAGGGTTGTCCTGGCAGTCCGGCAGCATTTTAATAACAGTAAAATTATAATTGTATAACTTCCTCATAAAAGTACTTATATCAATAGAAGAAGTTGAAATATTATTTTTTTGCATTGAATTGTCTTCTCTTATTTAATCCGCGCAATTTGCGCGGGGTCTGCTAGTAAAGCATAAAAAAATAACAACGTTTACTGATGTTGGAGGATGTGTGCTCCCGCTTTTCCCCTTTCCGCCGTGTGTAGGCAGTTACCTGTGTTCGTGGCGCTGCGACCGCTTAAATCAAAGCGGCCGCCGGCACTCACCCGCCTGCTTTTGCTCTCGACATTGTTTCTGTGCCTGCGTTGGGTTCTGCATTTCTGGCCGATTTCTTTGCATTTCTTGTTCGTGCGCGCGCGAGTGATTGGTTCTTTACCACCCGCCACACCCTGCTGTCTGCGCTGCTGTTATTTCGCGTTGCTCAGTAAAGGGGCCTTCGGTTGCGCAGGGCACTTGTCGCTCTCTTCCGCCGACCCCCGGTTGGCCGGCTTCTGGCTGACCCACGGTCACCGCACACAGCCGATCACGAGAGTACCAGCCTCCCAGCAGCCGGGATTCCAGCGCCCCCAGTGGATTCCGGCAGCGGTAACATTAATTGTGATTTTATTATTTAACACTGTATGTAGTGTTTCCCGTTCCATTCTCGCGATGAAATACCATTCCATTTCCCATCAGTTCTGCCGCTGCTGGTTGCGCCGATACACCGCTAACGATGTTGAGTTAATGTTTATTGTGCGCACCGCGGATCGCTGTACGACTGCCACAGATACACGAAATTTCCTGAAAATGTTTCAATAATTTTCATACTCTGGAAGAATGAACTGCAGTATCTGGATAATCGATCCGGTTCCGGACTGTTAGTCACTATGTGTAGATTATACCGCAAGTATGGTTTGGATTTTGGAGCTTAATCATGTACTTATGTCTTACTGTGTGTATGCTCCCTAGATAACTGCAGTTGAACAGCTTTTAGTAAAAAAATTTAATCTGGTTACTGAAATACGAACAACAAATTCCCGCTGCATTCACAAAAAAACAAAACACGGAACGCAAAAGAAAGAACCAACACACTGAAGTGAGATCCGATCCGATTTTAGTAAAAACATTTAATCTGGTTACTGAAATACGAACAACAAATTCCCGCTGCATTCACAAAAAAACAAAACACGGAACGCAAAAGAAAGAACCAACACACTGAAGTGAGATCCGATCCGATTTTAGTAAAAACATTTAATCTGGTTACTGAAATACGAACAACAAATTCCCGCTGCCTTCATAAAAAAAAACAAAACACGGAACGCAAAAGAAAGAACCAGCCAACACACACTGAGATCCGATCCGACTGCCGAATCCTGTCGCACGAAGCCAAAACTGAGCACCGCACTGCGTGTCCTTCCGCATCGCCGACGACTGCTGTCCGGCTACTTGCCGAGTAACTGCAAAACCAAATATTAGCATCAAATGTTAATCGAAGAGGAATGCAGAGAAGTAGAAAGTTTTCAGTTAGTAATCACCAAATACGCAAATGCAACCACCCTTCTCAATTAAAAATTAACAACAGAATGTGAAATTTTTTTAACATCAGAATCTGTTCATCCCCATTTTGAAATTCATTTGTTTTTAATACTGAGCTTCATTATTAATTCTCCATATGGAATATTCTTGCTTACTTTTTCAAATTTTTATCAGTTTATTTATTATTCAGATAAAGATTAAAGAAATTGGAAATAACAAAAAATACAAAACCAATACGATTAATGTAATGTACTGATGGTTGCCGATATCAAGGATTAATATACCGCGTCGATCTCCAGCAGTTTTTTAAATTGCGTCTGCACACGTCTGGAGTGCCCTTTGGCAAATGCAGCATTTTGCCGCGCTCCTGCTTCGGTTTGCCGAAAAGCCCTTTCTTTGGTAGTTTCTTGCATCCGCTGTTTGGATTTTTCACGAAGGTGCTCGTTAACCTTCTCACGATTCCGTATGCGCTTGAGCTTTTGTCGTCTTTTATTGCGTTCCCTATTAGCATTTTGGGAAGCAGTTATGAAATTACTTGAAAAAAACAAAAATGCTGCTTATTTAAAAAAGTACTACTGTTCAGTACCAATACAAGCCGGGCTATAAATTTAGCGTAAGCTAATATAGTGAGAATAACAAATTTACGGGTTTGCGCCTAACTTCTTATTACGGCACGCCCCACTGCACTTTTTAAACACGTAACACGCATTTGGCGTGCCAGTCCGCCGGTGCACACCAAATATTTTAATGGGAACAATCGCAGACCTGGCGGATGCTGGCTAAATTAAATTCGATGCAGTAAAGTGCGGTCTTAAACCGCGGAGCGCATCTTGTTATTGCGATAAATATAGTGACGTGGCAATCATTCTAGGCGCGCATTTCGCTCTACCTGTACCTTCATATAGACAATTATGATACATTTACAGCCTGGCTTGTTTACGGATTTCCGCGCGCTTATACATCTGCAAAAGAGTACCCAGTAAAACAGAAAACAACTAATACCTTCTACTGTCTTCTTTCTTCTTTGTCAGTGCTTCAGCCCGTGACAGTAGCTCCGCGAGGCGGTCCGTTTCGCGTTTCTGCTTCTCCTTCTCACTGTCCGATCTGTCAGCTTTGGCCGCCCCCTCTCCAGGTCGAGCCTCTCCTTGCCGATGACGTTTACCGGCTTCGCGGTCTGGCGATCGGCGATCTTCCGTAATACCTGTAGCGGAGAAAACATTTCACATGAAAAGTTAACAGCAAAGATGTTGCAGAATGCAGATCATTACGAAAAGTGTGCTTACGTTTCTCCTTCTTCTTCTCACTGTTCCGCTTTTCCTCCATCGAAATGTCCACTTTGGCCGCCCCCTCTCCGGGTCGAGCCTCTCCTTGCCGATGACGTTTACGGGCTTCGCGCTCTTGATCCTGCCGATCTTTTATAGTAACTGCAGCGAAGAAAACATTTCACTTGAAAAGTTAACAGCAAAGATGTTGCAGAATGCAGATTATTACGAAAAGTGTGCTTTAACTGTACTTCCGCGAAATCAAGAGACGACTTTCACGTCGAAGAGATAAGTAATGGCTCTTTTAACAAATATCTAACTAAAACATTTAAATAACGCTAAGGACCGTGTTTCCGATAACAAAACTGAAAATAACTGGAAACGTTTTCAGAGGATCAAAGAAACAAAATTAACATATTTTATTTTTTGCTTGAGAAAACGATTTCTGGCTGGCAAAATTTTTGTAAAACAAAAATTACTTCGGCTTGCATAATTTATGAAAACTGAGGTGAACGCTGTTTCCAGCAAGGCAACAGAGCGTCGTTTTACATTCATTTTACATTACTTTATTTTACATTTACTCATTTTACACGTTAAGGTCGTACGTCTTTCAGGTTTTACAGATCGCTTTACATTTATTTTTCATTTACTTTCCATTTCTTCATTTTACAGATTTTTTTATTTATTTTGCAGTTATTCATTTTACAGGCTTCGGAAATACATAATATGTTGCTGCGTAATGTTCATATTACATAATATCTTGCTAAATCAAAAAAATTCGGAGACAGTTGATGCGTTGTACTTCATTGTACAGCAAGTTAGCAACTACTGTTTCAGCTGAGCAGGAATGACTCTCTGACACTCAAGCGCCAGTGGTGAATAATTTCGCGGCTTGTGGTCAGCAAACTTGCCATCTCCCCAGAAGAGAGATGTCTCCTCTTCTGCGCAGTAATAAAACCTTGTAAAAGGTTTCTGCTCTATCATAGTTTTTAAAATAGGTATCGGTGTATAATTTTTTCATAAAAGCTTGATACACATCAGTAGATAGAGAAATCAATTCTCTGTCGATTCCTGTATAATTTAAAATGGCGTGATGTGAGTAGAAATTCACCTTAATCCGCGCAGTTTGCACGGGATCTATTATTATAATATTTTATTTTACTTCTGTACAATAAAATCGTTAGTCTTTTGTGACTGCATTACTCACTCCATCTCACTGTAATTTCCCTAAAATCTTACATTGTCACTAATTTACCTTCATCGTCTGCTTGTGTTTTATTTCGCTTCTTGCTTTTCGCTTCCGGCGCTTGTTCTCGCTCCTTCGGGTGCGACCTATAAGTTATATGCCAACAATTAAAAACTGATATCGTCACAACAAAACTGGTAACGTGAACTTTTAAAATAAAAAAGCGAAGAAAATATGAGCCCTGAGATTGCCTTTCTGGGTGTATGATAAAAAATACGTCTAGTTGTTATGAAGGAGAATTTGAAATTTCCTCTCCTGTCACTAGCATTTCGAAACACTTACGCTGTTAAACTCTGTCCTCGTTTAAGAAATTTTTCCTCTTCCGCTTTCCGGCGACCCGCAGTCTGCTCCGATGGCCCCTGGTCCTCGGCGGAAGATTCAGCGAGGTGCGCTGTTCGCCGCGGCAAATGGGCGCGATACATTTTATCTGTAAAAAGAACAAACATGAAAAAGATACAGTGGACTTCATAAATGCGGCTACGTTGGACACCCGTGCGCCGGCCGACAATTTTATTACCAAAACCCATGACTAAAACAATGAGGAAAAAACAAGCTGCTGCGCGCAGACAAGTTTCATTCAGACACCGGTGCCGTGCAGATTTTGGAACTGAAACCAAAAACCACCTTTCCCACTCATCGTACGCTTCAAGCCGGCGCCATTTAGATTTCTTTTATTCAGACAAATAACATGGCATTTTCTAGCGAAAAATCTGGTTTATTGTATCATTCGCCGATACAGTTAAAAAAGCGCTCAGCAGACAGGGCACAATGACTGTTTATTTAGTTGCAACTGCACTATCAACGGCGCTGACAAATAATACAGCCAAGTTCAAGTGTAAATGGCTTTTAGCTTGTACAATTTGTCAATAAAGTAAAAAGTAATACAGCCTCGTTACAGATTCGATAAAAGTACAGTATAAAGCAGCTGTACAGTGTATACATAATGTATACACATTTTTTATGCATAAGCACAAATCGGGTCATCCAGTGGTAGCAGCTCACAACGAAATTGCATAGAAATGAATACCTTGCAGTTGCAGAACGTTTTCTAATAAAATAACTAATAATCTCATAAATCCCCCATTAGAAAGATTTAAGTACACGTTGAGCAAATAACTGAGCACCGCCGCTGCCGGTGCTGTAGTCCATTTTCCTAACACCGCCGCTAATGTTGCTGTAGTCTACCTTCCTAAATTCGCCGCTGCCGGTGCTGTAATCAACCTTCGTGACTCCGCCGGTGTTGTACTATATTCCTACTTCCGCCGCTGCCGGTGCTGTAGTCTACCTTCCTAACTCCGCCGCTGCCGGTGCTGTACTATATTCCTACTTCCGCCGCTGCCGCTGTAGTCTACCTTCCTAACTACACTGCTACCGTTGCTGCAGCCTACTTTCCT